TGGCTGCTAAAATGTGGCTCTTTCTACTATAGTTAACTAAAATCACATCAAAGAAAAAGATTCATTTCTTCAGCTATAGGAGCCAGAGATGCAGTGCTTGAAGCTGCACGTGGCTGGTGGCCCCCACACTGGACGCTGCAGAGACAGAACGTTCCATCATTGCTGGGGGAGGGCTTTCTTGGGCTACTGTGGTCCAGAAGCAGAAGAGAGAATAAGCTTTGTGTCATCTTATCTGGGCCTGAGGGGCATGGGTGGGAGGCACTAAGCAGGTATCCTGGAAGGCTGCAGGATGAGATCTCAGGACAAGCCAAGGGCACCACTTCAGAGCACCATCATGAGTTCTGCAGGGTCTGGGGAGGGCATGGAAAGGGCTGTCATGGTTGAAAAGTAGCATCTTCTGGGTTTGCAGCCATGTGCCTGTCACTTTGGAGGAGCAGCTTCCTTGAGTGACAGTCACAAGGGTTCCCAGCATTGTCCTCCCAACACTGTGTGTGCAGAGATTTCTGGCCTGAGTATTGATGTTGAAGTTTCTTGCACCAGCCCCCCCACGGTAGTAGAGCAATGCCTGTTTCTTGCTCTGTCCGGGCACACTGGCCCTTTGTTCAGGGCATTTCTCCTTTCAAAAGACACTAACTCTGGGCCCCTTCAGTTCCAGGGCCCTGTGAACCGGAAGACCTCATCGATGGGATCATCTTTGCTGCCAACTACCTGGGGTCCACCCAGCTGCTTTCAGAACGAAACCCTTCCAAAAACATCAGGATGATGCAAGCCCAGGAGGCTGTCAGCCGTGTCAAGGTAGGGGTGCTGCTGAGTCTGGTGGGGACTCCCCTCAGTGCGGGGCACTGGAAGAGAGGGCACAGTACAGCACCAGCATGCCATGTCCAGCCGGCTTAGCCCTGTGCACAGAGCAGGAGTAGCTAAGGTGCCGACGTGGCGAAGGCCCCCAGTAAGGCTGAGAGAGGCTTATGCCTAGGCCTTGGGAGTGCTGTGGTTTGGGCCCCCAGGCAGCTGGCTCCTTAATGAGGAAAGGTCCACAGAATCCTTCAAAGATAATCGTTCTAATGCATCCTAGTTGTAAGACAGTCTCAAATTTGGAGTCTTAAATCCTAGTTTGACAGTATATATATTTTTAGCACCAAACTGCTTTCAGAAATGGGGAAAACATCATGTTTTATTTAAATTCATGACCTCAAGAAAAACTCTGACATACTTGAAGCTCTGGGTGCATTCTGGGTCGTCTGGCGTTAAGTGGTAGGTGAGGCTAGGAAGGGGAAGGTGAGGCCAGGCCAGGAGGGTGGGGATACAGTGGGCTGAAATGGGCAAGGCAGGGTCTGCAGACACTGCTACCCCTGGGGATGAGAAAGGGGGGTGGCCACTCCCCTGTCCTCACTATGCTCTGGCCTCCTTTAGCCTAGGCAGAGGGTCACCAGGAGGCCATCCATGATCAGGAGAAAGTGAAGCAGCTGGGGGCCTTGCTGCCAGCGTCCTCAGCTGAGGTCTGGCCACAGACTCCACCCTGTGCTGGCCAGAGCTTGGCTCGCTCTCCTGTGGGCTGAGCCCCTCTTCTGTCCTCAGAGGTGCCCTTTGTACATAGGGCAGGTGACATTCATTTCTAGCACTCAAGGGGCACCTCCGTGGGCTTCTCTTGGTCCGTGTGTGGGCAGTTGCTGTTCAGCTGTCACTGCAGAGGACTCCTAGTGCTTCACTGGGCACCAGGCTTGCGTACGGGGACGTTGACCACAACCCTCACAGCCTTGCCACTCCTTCCCTCTCTGTGCCAACTTGTCTTTCCTTTTCTCTTCCATGCTGCTCAGAGGATGCAAAAGGCTGCTAAGATCAAGAAGAAAGCGGTGTGTAGGACGCTGTGGCCCGGGACAGTGGCGTCTGCTTGTGTTTCTGTTTGGGGGGTGGGGGGCGGGGGGGGCTTCCCCTGGGAATCCAGATGCTGCTGCAGAGCTGAGCTTCTCCCTGCAGGGGGAATGTCAGACTTTTGTGAATGAAACCATAGACAGTTCATTTTTTTAGCCACCCACTTAGAGAAGAATGTGATAGCTCTCTCCTTTCCCCTTCTCTTCTAGCTGCTCTGTGTGCTGAAGTGTGGCTGATGCCATGAGGCTCCTTGTTGTATGTGGACATTGAAATACAGCCTTTGTTACAGCAGTGTGGTGGACCCAAGGCCTGGGCCTCCTGAGCACTATTAGTTATTTGCTCTGATAGTTAAAGTCTCTTTAAATTTAATTCACTAAGTCAGCATGACCAGGAGCTCTGTCTGCCCATGAGGTACTTTATTGAAAATAGTTTTGAAGCATGGGCAGACTCTAAAAACTTGAGTTGGCAGTTAGTCATTTGTTAACCTGGTCATTTTAGTAAATGTTAGAGAGTTTCTAACTGTTCTCATATAGATAATGTCAAAATACTCCATGTTGAAGAGCCTGGGACAAGCCCATGGAGACTGGGGACTGGTTTGTTGCGCACTGTTCCCTTCCATTTAAACTTTAAGTCCTCCTGCCCACCTTGAAGTAACGGCATTTTCTGGCGCTGTGGCCAGGGAACCCTTATCTGGGGGCTCCCTTCCCTCTCCAGTGAAACTTTGGTCACTTGTGACAACAGCCTCTCCTTTGGTTCTCCATCAGCCTCAGGAGAGGAAGGAGCTCACCCATCTTCCTCCGCCCAGGCCGATGCTGCTCTGGGTGCCTCCCTGGGGAGTGGGATGGGTCTGGCCAGATGGGTCTGGCTGTGCAGACCTGCAGTTGGGTGCGCTTCTCCCAAGGGGAGAGGATGGCTCTCATCTGCAGCCTCCCAGTCCAGCTGGAGCAGGCGGTCCTCATGGACCACAGCCTGCCTCTGGGGTCTGCAGGGCAGAGATCCTACAGTCTCCATCTGCCTCTGGAGGGGTCGGGCGCAGGCAGACACAGCTTGCAAAGGCCTCGGCGACCAGCCAGGGGGCCAGCAGATGACATGTGATCGAGGAGTGTTCTTTTCCAGGAGGTGAGATTCTCAGCACCGTTGTTGACTGTCCCTTTCCTGGTCTACCCACAGCTGGGGAAACCAGTGAGGACAGGCAGCCCTGGGACCCAGAGTTCTAGGCAAGCATGGTCCTTCCAGACAGCAGCCTCTGCCCACAGCCACCCTGGTCACAGCTCCGATCCTCACCTCTGTAGGACTTGTACTATTGAGACCTTCTTCCTCCACCAAGGGTTATGACGGGTGACTTCCCCTTCCCTGATGTTGACCAGATTTTGGCTCCATGGTTTACCCACCCCTTGAACCTGGCCAGCTCCAGGCTGCCCCTCATCTAGGATCAAATTTATTAAACTGCTCAAATCCCTCCATAACTGCCACTAACACCAAAGCCCACCTATAACTTTCCTAACTTAATTCCAATTTGACCTACTTTTAGCAAGGGAGATTTGAGCTGCAGTCCCAGAATATAACCTTTAAAAGCACATTGATGTTGAATATAACTTGATTTATAAAAATGGGGAAAAAATTCCTCCCCAGTCCTGCAGACATTTTTAGCTGGATTGTTTTAAACTCTGTTAGAAGTGGTACTACCCTGTGGTGAGATTGAAAGCCCAAAATGCCTTTTCCCTCACCAGCTGAGCTAAAATACAAATTTATGATTATGATAGGGGGCCTCTCTGCCATGCAGAATACCTGAGGAAATTGTCAACAGGGATATTTTCTGTTTCAGATTTTCTAGTGAGTAATTAGATCACAGTTTCTGCTACTTTGAAATGGAAGATATACCACCCTGGGCTCCCCAGTGACCACAAAGAATTACTCACCTCAGTAGGCAAACCAGCAAAACTTATATTTCATTGACAATTAGTATTCTCCCAAATGGGAAAACAAATTAAAGGTTGTCCTGGTTTGGGTCCAACCCCAAGTTGTTCACATGGCTTCCAAGACAGTTCACAAAACCTTCTGCGCTTTCTTCAGGGTGACAGATCAGGGCCATTTGTGTGGCATCTTCTCCTAGCTTCTCTGTGTTGCTGTGAAGGCAGCACCCAGGCCAGTCCTGGGCTGAATCCCTTTAAGATTTTTAGAATGCCAGGGCCAGCGTTGTGGGAGGTGGGTCATTGTGATCATGGTTGGGTAAATCAGGAGGAGCTAACATTTCAATCCCACTTCTTTGAAAATGTCCTTCCCCATTTCCTGGGGATACTTGGAATCCCAAATCCAGGAAATGCAGCCTGAATGCATAGACCATGCAGCTTCACTGAACTGGACACAGGTTGGCCAGAGCATCCCTGCTTGCTTCTGACAGGAGGGGCTGTGATGTGAGGCTCAGGCATCCAACTATTTCTCCTGTGCTCCCTCCTCCCCTGGGCCTTCTGCAGGCTCCTCGGAGAGAGCACACTGGGCTGTGGGACCTGCCTGGTGGTGTGCTTGTAGATTTCTGACAGCTGCTCCATTCTAGAATAGCATTTCTATCTATATGAACTCAGGGTAATTAAAAAAATTGCCACACCAGGCACAGTGGCTCACACCTGTAATCTTAGCACTCTGGGAGACCAAGGTGGGTGGATTGCCTGAGCTCAGGAGTTTGAGACCAGCCTGAGCAAGAGCAAGACCCCATCTCTACTAAAAATAGAAAAACTACCCAGGTGTTGTGGTGGGTGCTTATAGTCCCAGCTATTCAGGATGCTGAGTCAAGAGGATCCTTTGAGCCCAGGAATTTGAAGTTGCTGTGGGCTGTGATGACTCCATGGCACTCTAGCCAGCCAGAGTGACAAAGTGAGATTCTGTCCCCCAGCCCCCCAAAAAAGCCAGGAAGCCAGGCCTTCCTTTGAGTTTTTTTGTATATATATTGACAGATAAAATTGTATGTATTTATGGTGTACAACATCTTATTTTGAAGCCTATATACATTGTGGAATGACTAAATGTTGCTAACTAACATAAGCACTCCCACACATAGCCATCCTTTTTGTACCTAGAACCCTTTACATTAGCTCTCTTAGAATTTTTCAAGCATAGCATATGTTAATGATTGTCACCATGATGTACAATGGATTCTTAAACTTACTCCTCTGGGCTAACTGGGGTTTTGAGTCTTTGACCTGCATCTCCCCAGCAACACACTCCCTGTACACACAGCCCCTGGTAGCCACTAGTCCCCTCTACTTCTGTGAGATCAACTTCTTCTAAATTCCACATATGAGCAAGATTATGTAGTATTTGTCCTTCTGCCCTTGGCTTATTTCACTTTAACATAACGTCCTCTAGGTCTGCTCATGTTGTTGAGAATGATGGGATTTTTTTCTTCTGTCTTCTTAAAGGCTGAATGATACTGCATTGTGCCAATGCCCCACATTTTCTTTACCCCTTCATCTGGGGGGTGGACACGTAGGTTGATTCTGTATCTCAGCTGTTGTGTAGTGCCGCAGGGAACATGGGAGTGAAGATGTGTTTGTCACACTGATTTCTCTTTCTGGACATGCTCCCGGAGTAACATTGCCCTATCAGATGGTGATTCTACTCTCAGTTTTTTTGAGGACCTCCATGTGGTTTTCCATGGAAGTTGCATTAATTCACATTTCACCACTGTGCCCCAGGGTTCCTCTTTCTCCACACCCTCCAGGACTTGTTACCTTTTGTCTTTTTGAGTGTAGCTATCCTAACAGGCATGGGGTTTGCATTTCCCTCAAGATTCATGATGTTGAGCATTTTTCATTTGTCTGTCCTCTTTTGAGCAATGCCTGTTGCGAGTATGTTTTTCAATCTATAGCAGTATCCACTGTCCTTCCTTAGAATTCTGAGGGAGATGCCCAGACGTTGACGGAAGTGGACCTCTTCATCTCCACCCAGAGGATCAAGGTTCTAAATGCAGACACACAGGTGAGTGTGTGAACGCCGCAATCCATGCCTCACCTTGCCCGGCAGTGCGGACCCCAGGTCCCCAGCGTCAGTGTGCTTTCCTCACTTGCTCTCTCTCCCCCTACACACAGCCCACATCCTGGGGCTGCACAGGGAGTACAGCAGGTGCTGGCGTCCCCTCCAGGGCTCAGTGTGCAGGAAGGTCGGCTGAGAGTCCTGAGCCCCTCTCCTGACCTCCCAGTCCTGGGGATCCTAACTGGGGACGGAGGAGACACAGCCCAGTACATGGCTCATGCTGCGACCCTCTCCCATGTCCAGGGACATGCTGCCTGCCTGGCACCCCAGCCCTCAGCTTGTCCTAATGTGGGCACTGTGGCTAACCTGTGTCCAGGCACTGCCTCCTTGTGCCCTGCCTCCTTTTCTACCCCAACCCCAATGGAGAGGCATGAGTCTTAGGTCAGGGGTAAGAGTTGGGGTCAAGCTTGTGACACTTCACAGATTTGGGCTTTGTTTCCTGATCTTTCATGGACAGAATGCATGAGATCCCCCGATCCCCTGTCACCCTCCTTGTGTCAGGGGTCCCCAGGCTGCTCCAGGCTGGTCACCTGTGAGAGGTCTCACAGCCTTCACTGTGCTCATGGCTAAGACGTCTCACTGGAGAAGTCTGGAGCAGAATCAGCACAGGGACAGTGGCCTGGGTCAGAGTCCTGGGGAAACCAGAGTCCTCTCTCCGAAGAGTCTCATGGGACACAAGGGAGGCCCTCAGCCATGGTGGAGCATTGTCTGTCAGGGAAGCTCATGGGGACTCAGTGTCCAAGGCCCTTCCTGGGGCTGGTCACAGTTGTCCTCTGCCTGACCATAACAAAATGCCAGACTCCCAGAAAGAAAGGTTTCCAGCCTAGAGCACATTGTTTGCACAAGCAGTTTAGGCAGAGTGAACCTCACCCATTAGTCGGGTAGCGGGAGCCCTCCTGAAATCCTCATTCAGATATCAGCAAAGGGCTACCCTGGCAGGTGGGCCTTTCCTGGGACAGCAGCCAGGCCTGGCAGCCTGGCTGTGCTTGCCAATGCTCATGGAGGGTACCGTGGCCCCAGGGGTGAGGGATAGGAGGGGAGAATGGGCATGAGAATTGACGCTGGGCTCCCTCCTTATGAGCTGTGTAGACAAGTTCTGGATGTCTTTGAGCCCTCAATTATTCTTTTATGCGGACCCCTGTGCTAGATCTGGTCTAGATAAGAAAGCCTGGGGCTCATACCTTCTCTCTTCCCTCCCTTCACCTTTTGGGGTCTTTGGATTCTGAACAGGGCCTCCAAATTAGAGCTGTAACTAGGGTTAGGGGAGTTGGTTCATGGGAGGGGACAAAGGCAGGTTCTCAGTTTCCTTGTGCCTGCTGTTTCAAGACAGGCACTTATAAGGACGGACTTCTTGGCTGAAGTGTCATGGCTCTTGGGTGAGCTGCAGATACCCCTGGGGTTGGTGCCTGGAGTTCTCCACCTCCAAGGCAAGGGTAGCAGGTCTGTCCAGGGCAGGGCCGTGCTGCCAGTTTGACTATCCCTGATAACTCTGGATGACTTTTTTTTCCCCTGCAGCCTGGCTTTCTAAATGTTAGTCCTCAGGACCTGTCTTGGAGTCTGGGACTGCAGAACAGGTGCCTGTGCGCTACAACCCATGGACGTCAAGGGCATCTTCCCATTCCCACTCAGGATAGAGACTCTGTGGTCCTTCGAGGATGTGGGGCTCGTTTCCTGTTATCTTCCTCTGTCTGTCCCTTCTTGGCCCTTTCGCTGTTTAGGGGGATGACTGGGCTCCCAGCTTCACAGGTGTGGCCTGAAGGACCTGTGGGAGATCCTTCCTGTCACTGCTGGAGAAGTCACTGTGGGAGATCCTCCCTGTCACTGCTGGAGAAGCCCATGGCCTCCCAGGTCTCTGTAGATGGAATGTTCTGGAGCCTCACATTTTTCATACTCTGCTCAGGCTTTCCTAGAGATTGGCTGCTAAGAGTTTGGATATGAGGTAGCATAGTTCATGGGCCTGTAGCTTTAGCAGGCCACAGGTTGTGGAGAAACGAGTCTTCTGGGGGATTCATTTCTCCAGAAATGAGGCAGAGGATTCCCCGTTCTGTAACAGAGGGGCAGCTGCCAGCCACAGTGGTGCCTCCACCAAGGTGTGCCGGCCATAGCCACCAGGCAGATGTGTTCCTGACTTGGCGTCTTCCTCCCTCCTGTACCCACAGTGAGGCCTGGTCCCAGGACCAGAGAGGACCTAGGGTGGGTGGGCTCTGTCCTGGAGTTGGGATGCTGACAAAGTCCCGCTGCCTATGAGACCTCCACCCATTGTGGAAAGAAACAGCAGGCGAGGCAGGGGAACGCTGGCGTTTGCAGGCACTGTAAGGGGACAAACCTGGTAGAGTTGCCTCTGTGTTTCTACCACATTTTGTGATGGAAATGTTGCAGACTTTTCCTGCCAGGGAGAGCGGCTGATGTCTGTATCATGGCTTTTGGCATAGACTGTGTTCCCCTGTCGAGCTAGAACCCCAGCTGTGTCACTGGAGGTCGGGGCTGGTGGAAGAAGCAGATGTGTCCTGATCCCGAGGAGCCCACCATCCTGGGGAGCGTGTGGGTGGACGGGACACCCCTGGCTACCTGTGCATCTGGGAACACAGTGGCAGCTGTGATTGAGAGCTCGGATCCTGGCAGTGCCCACAGCTCAGTTTGAACCTGACCCGGGCCAGCTAAACAACAATGACAATTGCAACCAAAAATAGCTGGGCATTGTGGCGGGCGCTTGTAGTCCCAGCTACTTGGGAAGCTGAGGCAAGAGAATCACTTAAGCCCAAGAGTTTGAGGTTGCTGTGAGCTGTGATGCCAGGACACTCTACCCAGGGTGACAACTTGACTTTGTCTCAAAAAAAGAAAGAAAGAAAGAAAAGAAAACGAAAAAGAGAGGTGGGATCCTCCTCATCTGAACTACCTGAACCCTGGCACTGGCCACAGACGGAGGGTGGCCACTAAGATGGGGGGTCAAGCAGGATGGCAAGGGAGGGTGGGAAGGCAGGGTAGGTGGTGCTTTCTACAGACCAGGCCCCATGTGGGCCTTGGGGCACCGTGGGAGGCTGTGGGACAGGACATGGGCAAGGAGAACAAGTAGCACGTGCTGGCAGGTAGGTCAGGAAGGTTCCACAGTGAGCTGTGGCTGAGTTGTTGGAGTGGCTTCCTGACCATGGCAGTGATTGGTAGTTTGTGAGCTTAGTGTTTGGGATGAGTTGGAAGAGGTGTTGTGACAGAAAATTGGTTTGGCTGAAAAATTAATAGGCTGGCAGAGGGGCTAGAGAGGTGGGAACAGGTGAGAGAGGCTAATGAAGGCTGAAGTGGCCAGTCAGGGTAGGAGGGAGAACGGTGGTGATGTTGGTAGGCAGCCTGTGTCCACAAGGAGGACGGCTCTGCCCTTGACCTGAACTGGGAGCTGAGAGCAAGGGGTTTGCATGCTTCTGACACCTATAGGTTGATGAGGTGTTTCTGACAGTGGCCAGAAAGCAGGAAATGCTGAAAAGCCATCCCTGATGCCTCCCTGTCCAGTGTCCCTCCCTGGAGGACGACTCTTGTGGTTGTGAAGCACCCTCATGGCCTTGGCTGGAAAATAGATCAGCCCCAGAGACAAATAGGAAGCATTATCTGCTGCAGAAATGGTGTTCTGTGAGGAAGAAAAGGGCTCTGAAGACTGCAGAAACACCCCATTTTGTTTTGTGAAAGGAGCACAAAGGCACAAAGACCACCTGATTAGTTTTTCAGAGCTTTGTGTACAGCCTTGTTAGCTGGGTCTTGTGGGCAGGATGCTCAGTGGAGATTCCTGTCAGAAGACAAAAACCATCAAGAGCAGCAGGCCTGCCAGGAGCTCAGGAGACAGTCTAGCCAGGAGTGCTGCCCCCATGGTGCCTCCTGACCCTGGCCAGGTTGCCTGGGCTCCCTGGGAAGAACCTATGGGAAACGTTGGTTTAGATGCTTTCCTCCTCTGCTTGGCAGGAAGCCTGGGCCAGGCCTCTGCTGGGCCTGGGAGAGGAGGGACCTTTCCCCAGAGCTACAGATGGTCTGTCACTGGGAAGGGGCCAGGCATCACCACACGCAAGCTCCCCACTCTTCCTCCTATAGGAATGGGGTGCCCTCCACCCCCCTGGCATCCGGCCTCTCCACGTGCTGGCAGGGTCCCCTTTTGGGAGCTGGAGCTTGAGCTTGAAGTGAAGGCAGAGTCACTTTGATAATCACCACCCTAAAATGCCCTGCTAACTAGAGCCATGGTTCTCAGCCAGAGTGACTCTGCCTGTCCCCCTGGGGGACTTTTGGCAACAGCTGGAGATATTTTTGGTTTTCACACTTGGGAAGGGAAAGATGCTACTGGCATCTTGTGGGCAGAGGCCAAGGAGGCTCCTGTCACCTCCCTAATAAAGAATGTTCTGACCTCTCATGGCAGTAGTGTGCCCCAAGTGATGGCTGCAAATACTCCTGGTGGTTTTCCATGGCTTGTCGCCTGTGATGTCCCCTCTCCCGACAGGAGACCATGATGGATCACGCCTTGCGCACCATCTCCTACATTGCCGACATCGGGAACATCGTGGTGCTGATGGCCAGACGCCGCATGCCCCGCTCGGCCTCTCAGGACTGCATCGAGACCACTCCCGGGGCTCAGGAGGGGAAGAAGCAGTACAAGATGATCTGCCACGTGTTCGAGTCCGAGGACGTGAGTAAACCCAGGGCATGCCCAGCAGAGCGCCATTGGGTTGAAATCCTTTGTTTCGTTTTTGGCTTTTTCAGTGGAGTGGGGAATTCTTCTCACCCTCTTCGAGTTTGCAAAGATAGTGAACACCTTTTATTTTACTTCATGAAATCGATTCCTCTGGAACTATTGATACACTGAGCCTTCATTAAATATACCAGGGGAGCTGTTCATTTGAAGAAATCCTTTCACGAAACACTCTTCCCCTTAAAGTAAAGTTAATTTTTGTGTAACTTTCCTGTTACTAAAACCCACACTGCACGTGCCATGGTTTCAGAAAGAGGCTTGTCTGCACCCACACCACCACTCTGCCTTCAAAGGTGGTGTTTCACTTTATAATAAGTTGAAAAGTAATTCTGAAGTGTAGAACACCACAGACTCGCTAAGAGAGCACAGACAAACCCCTGGACTCCTTCCTCCAGCAGGGAAAGAGCACTTTTTTGAGCCTACAGGGATAAAGAGGGGCTGAGGGGGGAGCAGCCAGCACTGAGACAGTAGCTTGGAAGAGGGACTGACCCTTCAGCTAAGCTTCCTTAGCTTAGGGGAGGGGAGGCTGTTGCTTCCCCACTCTGATTGCTGCTGCCAGCGTAGAATGTTTTTTTTGAGACAGAGTCTTACTATGTCACCCTGGGTAGAGTGCCTTGGCATCACAGCTCACAGCAACACACATATCCTCTCCACATGGTACAGAGACCCGGGGAGGAAACCTGGACACACACATATCCTCTCCACATGGTACAGAGACCCGGGGAGGAAA